GTTATATATATATTATATTAAAAAATATGTATAGACCTATATAACTGTCTATGTGTTTGTGCGTGTAACATTGATACTATTATCTAGTAATGCTAAAACCGTCAAAGTGGCGTCTGTAGCTTAGTGGTTGGGCTACTGGGCTGGTAATCGTAAGGTTGTGGGTCCGGGGTTTCGAGCCTCAGCTCGGTCCGACGTTGTGTCCTTGGAAAAGGCACTGTACACGAATTTCCTATTTGGCTCGGTCCTTTCGGATGTGAACTTAAACTCGGAGGTCCCGTCTCTTAAATAACCTAATAGTGTTGGTAGAGGCATTAAACCCATAACATTTTACCATCTTGAAAAAAACCGCTGACAGTAACATTAACAAATCATGTAGGTCACGGAAAGATCCCGATTATTTTTTTAAGGCACCCACAAAGAACAGCATAAAAAAACCAACCCCAAGAAAAGAAGCTTAAGTCTATGCTTATCTAGCTGACACATTTTCTTCTTGACTTTCAAGTAAGGTGACATCAAAGAGGTAAACCAATATCCCCTCATCAAACTATAATAGCTGCCTCCATTGAAAGACTGGGGGATGCCACCCGCAAAAACTCCAGTGGGAATTACCGCAAGATAAATGTCTCAATAATTCAAAGAGTGCAGATACTCTTCCACCATGCATTATTCAACACGACCAATCAAAATCGACAACCCGCAGTGTGTCTGCTGTGCCAGGTTGTCACGCAACTGATGACCCAAAGACGTGGTTTGCCAGTTTGGAACTCAGATAGTTTTATGAGAAAACAGACCCGATAGAGCGACCGAGGCACGCACGAGTTTCAAAAATAGCCAGTGTATAATCTAATATCTTCCTCGGCTGTACATCGATATCAAAGACGATTACAGCGTCACGCATGATATAACTTTGCCTGGTAAGAAGTACATTGCCAAAGTATTACTTCGCTCCATTCAGCCTTCAGATTTTGACTTTCTGGATATGCTCCAAAGAAGTGACACATTAAGGCCTTGTCTTTCTGTTTATAGATGTGGCAGGGATATTTTATGGGTGGTTGGAGGGCGCCCCTAGAAGGTTTTACTACGTTTCTTTCTCTCTGTTTTTGTCTTTCTATCTTACTGTTTTCCCAGCACTAAATGACCATTATTATGTCGATTTGTTTCTCTTTACGGAAGCAAGCAAACAAACACATTTTAAAAAAAGGATATTCTTTAAGGTAACGACTATAACATGGTTTGAATTTTGCCCTGGTGGAAGCCTGATGACCTAATTTTCAACAATTTTCAACCACCAAGGGATATATAACGTGCGCAACGCGCGCACGGAACCAGGAACCTTCAATATCGCTCGTCCTTATCCGAGAATACTTTGAGCTCAATCTTTCCTACCTTAAGATCAGGGGTTTGGAGAAATAAGGAGATTGAGTGAGCGATGAGACAGCGAGAATGATGTTGTAATAGTATACCCGCCCACTGCTCTGTTGTGGGATCGGTCGTCTGGTCGTCTGGTAGTTAGGATTTGTAATCCTGGTGTAGCAGTTTCAGGGGTCTTAGTTTTAGTAAGAGTTTTACGGCACTTACAACACAATGGGGTCATAGAAGTAACGGAGATTAGAGGTGTTACAAGAGAGTAACAAACACAAAAAGAAGGAGGGGTGATAAAGACGATATATGTTTGATAAAACAGAAAAAGCAAACCACACCAGAACACCCGCCATCCACCCACGATTCAGGGTCTGAGGCTCAGCAAGGCGTACTTGAGGGAATCATCCTCACTTCACCCAAAGATCATTCATAACAAGATAGTTCACTCCGCCAAAAAATGTCCGGGGAAGTCCGTGCATTGGTTTAGATGGCGCTGCAGTCTTTGTTTTGAAGCTCTCTTTCGTTTCTTCAGAAGAATAATTGGAATAGTTCGTTAGTTTCGCTTTTATTGTTTTTCACACAAGCAGGGTAACTCTGTTCGCACAGTCCGCGCTTTTTTCGAAGAGGGCACCAGCGGATTTTGGGGACACTTTTTTAATTGACTCAAAGAGAGGAGAGAACTATCTTGTTAGGAACGATCTTTGCTTCACCCAGCGGGAATAGGTACTTGGGTGTACATAGCGCAAGATTATTTAACTTTGTAAGTTGTTGGCGGGCCACTCAGTCTGCCGCTTGCGTTGTATGCTTTCCGAAAAACTGAGGTTGTTTCTGAGTGTTCTAGGGTTTTCTCATTATGTAGATAAATGTTACCATAATATATAAATTTACTTTAAAGCCCATAGAGCATGCTGTAGACAGTGGTTATTCGCTATGAGGATGTCAGTCTTCTTCTTCTTCTTCTTCTTCTTCTTCTTCTTCTTCTTCTTCTTCTTCTTCTTCTTCTTCTTCTTCTTCTTCTTCTTCTTCTTCTTGTC